TCTTATTCATATTAATTTTAGTACTTGAGAAGGAGATATGGCAATGAGTCTTCCTTTAAAGTAAAATTAACAATACAATGATTATCTTTATTTTCACAATAATCATAACATATACAAATGTCAAACATTGGTTATGTACTTGACCAGGTTCTATATGCTTTATATAATATTTAAGGTAATTCTTATGATAATCCTATGACATGTATTATTGTCATCACCATCATTCAGATGAAGATATAAACAGAAAATATTTTGAATAATCTGCTTAAGGTTATACAATAAAGAAATCTTAGCAACTAAAAATAATTAAAAATGGATTTCCTATCACTTGGTTTCACTAGTTTACAAAGGAGATGAAATTATGCAACTGTTTAACATTACTGTATATGGATACTATATCATTTCCACTCCCTAGTATTCAAAAAATATGCTACTGATTTGCACCTCAATATAATAATTACAGTATTATACTTTCATTTTTTAAGATTTCATTTATTTATTTGAGAGGTAGAGTTACAGTGATTGGGAGAGGCAGAGAGAAAGGTCCTCCATCTGCTGGTCTTCCATCTGATGGTTTACTCCCCAACTGGCCACAATGGCCGGAGCTTGGCACATCTGAAGCCAGGAGCCAGGAGCTTCCTCTGGGTCTCCCACTTGGGTGCAAGGACCCAAGCACCTGTGCCATCTTCGACTGCTTTCCTAGGCCACAGCAGAGAGCTGGATCAGAAGAGGAGCAGCTGCTGCTAGAAGCTGTGCCCATATGGGATGCCAGTGCTGCAAGAGGAGGCTTAACATACTGCACCATAGTGCTGGCCCCTATAATATTACACTTTCTACATCCAACCTTACTTATAGATTAGGTAACACACACATCATTGTGGAATTCAACAGGAACAGTATTTTATTTATTAAAGTGAACAAACATAAGTGTGATTAGTTGGGATATAAATTAAGCTGCTGCTTGGGACATCTGCTTTCCCCTTTTGAGTGCTGAAATGGATTGAGTGCTGGCTCAGCTTATGATTCTAGCTTCCTACCAATGCACACACAAGGCAGCAGGTGGTGATAGGTCAAGTACTTGGTTTCCTGCCATGTTAAATTGAGACCCTACACCCTGGCTTGGCCATTTCCAAACCCTCACTGTTGCAGGAATTTAGGAAGTGAAACCATGGATGGGAGATCTCTGTCTGTCTGCCTATCAACTTTGTTATAAACACAAATTAGTTAATTAAAAATTGAAAAATATAAAGGAATAGCATGAAATAAGTTGCATAAACGAATTTGCTTCCAGTTATTTAAGAACATATCAAACATATTTACTTTTTTGTATTGTGCTTATGATAAACCATTGAACTTGGAATTATTATTTGAACTACATGAAATGCCAAATTGATTTGACATTTTAATATATCCCGTTTACTCATAAGTTTGTAACTTTAGGGGAATCAACATGAAAATGTTTGCTTTTATTGAATTTAGGACAAATTTCTATTGATCTTTCTGATACTCACCTTGGCCAGATGTCAGACTGTTTCTGCAGTTCTGTCACTTTCAAATATTAAAAGAAAAAATCTTTTTCATGTATGAGCGTCACCATCTATGCCCTGCCCTCTCCCACACATTCTGCTGCACTTGCACTCTGGGATCTGGGTAGGAATGAAGGGATATGATGAGGTTCATGGTGAACAAGCAGAGCATGGTCATTGTACAGCATGTGTCTTCAATGGTGACAGGAACCTGACAGCTGTACCGCTCTCCTGGAGCATGCATGGAATACGTATCTGAACGACTTAGAATCCCAGTTGCTCACTGAACTATATCTTATTCTTTGTATGGCTAATTTGAGGTCCCTCTTAGCTCCTACCACTTCTGCAAACTTTCTGCAGAGCTGCAGTCATTTAACTGTGGGGGACTTGTACAGGTTCGTCTGTTCAAAAGCTAGAATCTGCATTTCCCCTAGCAACTCCCCTCAGTCCTGCCCTGCTATTTCAGATGGGTCTTCCAGCCAGCCTCAGTGCAATTTGGAAAAAAAAAAAAAAGAAAAAATTCTAATAATCTCAAGGAACTACTTTGTGGTTGAGATACTATTTATTTTTATTTATTTGAAAGTCAGGGTTCAACAGAGAGAGGAGAGACAGAGAAAGAGAGAGAGAGAGAGAGAGAGAGAGAGAGAGGTCTTCCATCCGATGGTTCACTCCCCAGTTGGCCGCAATGGCCAGAGCTGTGCTGATGCAAAACCAGGAACCAGAAGCTTCTTCTGTGTCTTCCACGTTGGCTCAGGGGCCCAAGAACTTGGGCCATCTTCTACTGCTTTCCCAGGCCATAGCAGAGATCTGGATAGGAAGTGGAGCAGCCAGCACTCAAACCAGCACGCATATGGGATGCCGGCGCTTCAGACCAGGCCGTTAACCCACTGTGGCACAGTGCCGGCCCCAACTCTGCCATTCTTATATATTGCTGTCAATTATACAATATAAGCAAGAATTTGGGGCTGTGTTGTAGGTTTTAAGTAGTACTATGAACTTTAGCAATGCATATGTCTCTGAGTTCTACACTAATTCATAAATTAGGATTCACATGAAGTAGGAAAGCACCTATTTGCATAATATTTACACTTCATGGGATGTCATTCATATGAGATATTACACAACAACCATCAAAGGATGTCTTTGACTGTATATAACTTTACCAATCTTCCCCTGCACACCAGGTGTAATATCAACAAATGAAAACAAAGAGAACATAGAGACAAAGACAAAGAGATCTTCCACCTGCTGGTTCACTCCTCAAATACCTACAAATGCTGTGTTTAGACCAGGATGAAGACAAGAGCCTGACATTCAGTCTGAATCTCCAACCTGATAGTGGGGTGCCCAAGTACTTGAGCCATCATCTGTTGCCATGTATGGTGCTCATTAGCAGGAAGCTGGAATCTGAAGTGGAGCTGGGAGCCAAACCCAGGTACATTGGTGTAGAATATGGGCACCTCAAGCAGCATTGTTTCTATACAAAGAACTAACCAGTGCTAACTTGACAAACACATGTCAATATAACATGTAAATATTTCACCTTAACATTCAATAAAATTAACATGACTTCCATATCTGACTGAGAAAATTAGATAGGGATTCATTATATTTATTTAATAAATATTTCTTGGTCACTCATTATGTGCCAGAAACAATATTAGACAATATTAAAAGAAGCAGACTGATAAGTCTTTGTCCACTTAAGGTTTACATTTTCAATAAAGCAGAAGGGTGACAAGTATTATGTGTAACAATAGATGGCTTGGTGACTTGAAGAAAGAAAAGGCAAAGCAAGGGCCACGAGGTGGAGAGAGGTAAAGTAGGTCTTTCTGAAGACGCTACAGCTGGTTGCAGACCTAAATGAAGTAAAGGGATGAGAGAAAGAAAGGCATGTTTAGAGGAAGACTGTTCCAAGCTCAGAATCTGAGATCCCAAGAGTAAAGAGGAAACAGGGGAGATGATAGAAATTAACTGGGACCAGATAACACTTGTACATGGCTTATGGGTCAGGTCAGGAAGTCGGTTTATATTTCCAATATGCCATTAAACTGCTGTTGTCGCTGGCTGTAGAAAAGAAAGGGATCTGTCTGTGTTCCAGCAGAGTTTCGTCAGCTGTTATAATGACATACCATTATTTATTGAGCCCTTGGGTTTCCTCAGGTGCAACTTGTACAGCTTGCATTGGATATTTTATTGTTTATTCTTCATAACAACCCTGTGACATAGGTAGAGTAGACTTCATTTCACACATTAAAAATTGAGGTCTGAAAAGATCAGGCAGTTTGACAGAGTTCAAAGCTTCTTAAATAAAGGGGACTCGCGCACAAGTGCTGAGTGGACTACAAGTATTGCTAACATTTCCTGATTCATAGAAATGATTGAAAATATGTTCATATTTAACCATTAGCAATCCAAAGCTTGCATGTAAAACTGAGTAAACTAAGAGGGATTTTTAAATGTCATGAGTATTGGCATGAAGTTGTCCTATTTCCATAAACATCTGCATGAATTTAAATGAACTGCAATTAATCATAATGCCTTTGGCTCAGGAAATAGCAACACTCGGGCTACTAGTACACAACATAAAATAATTGTTGAAATATTACCAGCTCTAATGTCTAGGAAGTTGTAACCTCTCTACTATAATCAGCATTTGTTGATATGGTCAAGGCATATTATAGAGTAGCAAATATATTTATATTTATATTTATATTTATATCTATATATAAATATCTATATTTATAGAGTAGCAAATATATAACAATTGTGTGTACTTTTATCCTATGCACCCTGTGATTGACAGATCATTAACTAAACAACAATTTATTTTAAAACATCTGCTTAGTGCCACTGGACAAAAACTTTAAATATATTGGTGCAAATATTGCATGAATTTTTAAGTTGTTTATCCGAGTGTATGAGGCTTTCATCCATGACAGAACCTACTGTGATCCCCAGAAGAACTTATTTCTTTTTTCTAATCTATTTTCCATGGACTGCTTCATCTGTTGTGTATCATACTTTGCAATTCTTCAAGCAAGATTACATAGCACACCTTAAATACTAGGAGAAATCCTTCATTGAATAATGCATGAAAATGTCCACACCTTCATTCTTTCCATTTGTATTTTAATATGAAGGAAATATGAATCTCTCTCAACTCATATATTTGTATTTTGCTGTTATAAATTTTTAGTATTTCACTCTTTCTTAAGTTAAGTTTTCACATACAGAGGAAAATATATGGTAATCATTCAACTATTCTCTCCACATCTCAAGATTACTCTCAATATTTGATTTAGGCAAATATGGCCAATTTGCTTTAACTCAGTCTTACATGCTATTAATAAAAATGATCATATAAACCAATTTTAAGGACATTGTATCACTACTTTCATTCTGTTCAAACTGTAAATTTTGAAGTATACCTTGATTTGAGTGTAATAATAAGGATCATTCTTAAAAGGTCAATTAAAATTAAAGTGTTTTATTGTCTTATTATCTGATATTACCATAAAGCTTTATGTCCAACAGCTTAACATTTACTTCCTTCATAATGCCACAATAAAAGTAACTACTGCACCTAATTTCATACGGAGCAATAAAAGAAAATGACACTGAAGGATCAGTTATATCCTAAGTTCGTAACAGAATACAAAATGCTAAGAATTGTATATTCTTTTATTCTGTAAAAGGTAAGAATCAGTGCAGTTGATTATAAACTTTAGGATGAATAGTAATTCACATTTGCAACCAATACCTCTTCCACATATCTGTATCATTTTTAGTAGGGATTAAACTTTCTTAACATCTTTCAAACTTGTCTCTAGCTTCATAACATCTGAATTCAAAAGTGAATAAATCATGACTCATATTTGCCATGGTAAGAGTGTATCTTGGGCTGCCTGTGATAATAATCTATGCAAATTTCTAACTATATTTTCATGCCCCATTTAAACACAAAGACATAGTGTAAAAAAATGACACCGATTTACTTGTATAACTCTGATTAATTAATACATACCAAGCATCTATCCAAAACTGAAAACATTTTAATTGAAATTACAGTTTAGATCTTCACAAAGATTGTAAAATATCAAGCTAGAATGACCCATAGAATCCCAAAGCCTGCTTCTTCATATAGAGTACATGTTATAAAATGTGTATGCAATCAGCCAGATTCTCCTAGGTTTCAACACTTATCTCTAATACCAAGAACTTAACAAATATGAACAATTCACTCTTACTTTGTCAGAAGGAAATGAAAAGGATAACTGAAATAATCTTAAGCAAGCCTAAATTTTTGCCTCTCTCAAATTTGCTGTTCACACTGTCATGGGCTGTCACTGGATGACACTGGAAGGTCCGGAAGAGTATTTGAGCCATGCACAAGTAGCTCATTGTAGGCAAGCCCGTTGTTAGTGACAACAGGAGAGTGGCTTGAAATAACATGGACCATTTACTGCAAGGACATCAGAAAACTATTCGGCTCAACCTGGGCTTTAAAGTTTCTTCTCGTGAGGAGCCACGTCGCTCTTGACCAAGAGACTACGTCTTCCCCAAACGCACGTGAGCACTTTCCACATTTCGACGGCGAAACCCTCTAATTATGGGACTGCACTGCAGAACCAAACATGCACGCTAGTCGTTGAAAGCGAGGGCCTAAGTCCGCAAGGTAGTCATAGTCTTCTTCCTGCTCGGAGCCGGCCGAAGCGACGGAGCTGAGGGACCCGGCGCTCGACCCGGTGCCCTCGAAAGCGTAGGTCTGCAGGGCGTCAAAGGGAGGCGCGCAGGGGTCCGCGTCCGCCTCCTCCAGCTTCTCCAGGATGAACCTCCGGAACACGGCGCTGTCGGGGCCCGCCTGCAGGGACTGGCGGTACAGGCTGCGGGGGTCGGCGCTGTCGGGGCCCGCCTGCAGGGACTGGCGGTACAGGCTGCGGGGGTCGGCGCTGGCGCTGTCCGGGCCCGCCTGCAGGGGCCGGCGGTACAGGCTGCGGGGGTCGGCGCTGGCGCTGTCCGGGCCCGCCTGCAGGGGCCGGCGTGGGCGCCTGACGGTGCTGCTCCTCAGTTCCACGATGTCGAAGGCCTCTGTGTCTTCCTCCCCGCCCCCCTCATCGTTGTAGCTGAAAATGTTTTCTCGGAAGCCGTCACCTTTCTCCGGAAACGGAGGCTGCTCTTTCCGCTGTGTCAGGCCCAAGGTCAAAAACACAAACCCTGAGCAAGAGATCGCAGCAGTGTGTTAGTGAGGACGCGCCAGCGATGGTTCACAACCACAAGCTTAAGGCGGAGCTTTAACTTTATGACTGATAAACACAGAATGCATTTCTTGTGGAAATTTACAAAACCATGTAAGAGAAACCTGAGGATCTATCTGGCTGACGATTCAGAGGAAAAGTGTCAGGCTGATACAGTCAGCTGTACTTATGATGAACAATTTAAAATTTAATTCTAAGATAATAACCTTGAACAAGGTAGATGATGGTGTTCAAGTCTGCATGTGCTTTTCAACCCTGGAAACCAACGATCCAGATGATTAAAAGTTTCAAACAACAGAGCAGTTTCATGATACTCTTCATTCAGGCAAAATTCTGTGGCATAATTATTTTCTGAGTTAATATTGACTCTAAAGTGTATGCCAGAAATTGTTCTAAAATGTTCCAGCTTATTGATTGATTTCATTCCTACCATATCCTATTGAGGATGAAAAAGGGAACTGACACACAAAAGCATTAAGTAAAAGCTCCAGAAAGACAGCTAGGAAATATTAATTCAGAACCTGAACTCTGTGAAACCATATTAATTTCAGAAATTCCCAATTATCAGGCATATAAATCATAACACCTTTTTTACAAAATTGATATGCAAAACAGCCCCATAACACTCTTATTTTGAAGAAAATATTTAGGTGTGTGTATATGCTCATATGCATGCATGTCTGTGTTTACGTGTGTGTATCAAGGACAGCTAACTCTTACCCAACCTTGGAAGTTACATTGCTATTCAATTAAGCACATATATAAGAAAAGGATACCACTATAACTATCACATATACTTGCTTTTATCATTTGATTTTGAATACATGAACATATGGTCAGTTCAGTACTACTCACCAAATATTATCATAATGCAGATCAGAATAGCGATTATGACTTCCATCATGAATCCCAAGGAAAGCGCAAGTTCCTTGTTACTGCAGGACTGAGTGTTTCCATCGTCATCACAATCACAGACATACACTGTGAGGGTGTTTGTACTTGTGAGTGATGGGATTCCATTGTCCGCAATTAAGATAGATATGTACAAGACAGGTTCTTCTTGAAGGCTAAAACCAGTTCTATTGGTCAAAATTACAGCTGTATTGTCTAAAACAGAAATCCATGTGCATAATTTTTCAACAGTATAAAAGAAATACACATGTCATAAATACTTGAGGTAATAGTATGGAAATATGACAGGACAAATTCAAATAAAAGAAAAAGATTTCAGATAAACAATATATCCAGGGATGCATATTTGGCACAGCAGCTAATTCACCACTTGGAACACTTGCGTCCCATATCAGGGTCCATTATTGAGTCCTGGATCTCTAATTCTGATCCAGCTCCCTGCTAATGCTGGCCTAGTGAAACAGGAGCTCTTGGCTCAAGTACTTGGGTCTCTGCCACTCAAGTGGGAGACCTGGATTAAGTTCGGAGCTCCTAGCTTCTGCCTAGCCAACACAGCTGTTGTGGAAAACTGGAGAAATAACCAGCACAGGTATTTAAATTAAATAAAGATAAATAAATAAATAATTAGTTAAGAGACCGCCCCCCAATTGTTCTTTTTTAAGACAGAGACAGACACAATGACTTCTTCCATTCTCTGTTTCACTCCACAAATGCCGGCACAGAAGTCTGCCCAGGTCTCCCCAGTGGGTGACAGAGACCCTTGTACTTTATTGTCATCTGGTGCCCCCATAATGTGCATTTGCAGGAAGCTGGATAGGAAGTGGAGGAGCCAGGCATCCAATATAGATCAGGCATCCATTATGGAATGTGGCTATCCTAGGTGGCAGCTGAATCATGGAGCCAAACTCCCACAAATTATTGTTTCTCACATCACATAAACCTTAATTGTATAAATAGAAGAATTGCTTGAATCATTTCCAAATGTCTGGCAAAATGAGAAACTCATATGTGGAACATAGAAAACAGTTTTTAAATATTTTCTGGGTACCACCAGTATTCGATTTATGCCAATGATGTGACTATTTACACATGACAACGTTTTTCTTTTACTTGAGAACCATTATTTTCAAAACACTAGTAATACTATATCTTCAAAATTATCATAATAGCATGTAATCTCAAATAATTCTAATAAGAGAAATAATTAATTTACTTAGTAAAGAAAATCATATTAAGATGTTTCATTTCCCTTTGACTTTATGATCTCATTTCCTATTTAAAAATTTAGATAATCATTGCAACTAACACACACTAATTCGTTCATATACAAATAGAATTTTAAAAATTGGTGGAAATTAACAACATATACTTTGATATACATCAAATTGTTCTTCCTTAGATACCAGAATACTTTAAGCAACTCTTTTCAGTGTAATAACTCTTTTTTTACTTTACTTTTTGCTTTTTTGTTTGCTACTTTTAGATTGTCATCACTCAAAATATTTTCTGAGGCCATAAGAAAAACATTGGAAGATAATAGCATTAAAATGTAAATTTTGAAAGCTTGTTGAAACACCTTTTTTTTTTAAATTTTTCCAGATGATATTAAAGACTCCATTATACTCTGGAAATCAATAAAGCCCATGAGATTGTATTTACTAGACAGATTTAAGAGCAGAGAGATCTTTTGCATTTTTCAATATGCTTTCTATTAAATTACTTATAACCACAACATATGTTTTATATACTAATATATTTATTTGCCTTAATAACTATTTTTTATCAATATAAGAAAACTCAAGCCACAACTTAGATCTGTGGGGTTTTCTATATTATTATGAGTTACTTTTTGAGAGTTTGACAAGGGCAAAAAAGAGAGAGACGTGTTTGCCTTTACTATTCCCCAAAAAGTTCTCTCCAGGAAATCTTCATATTCACTGTGAAGGAAGGAAGCTATCTTCCTGCATGCTGGCATCCTATATTGGCACTGGTTTTAGTCTCAGCTGTTCCACTTCTAATCCAGCTTCCTGCTGATGCACCCGGCAATGCAGAGGAACATAGCACAAATGCTTGTGTCCCTACATCCACGTGGGAGACTTGGATGAAGCTGTTTGCTTTTTCAGTCTGGCATGGTCCTGGCTAGTGTGGCTATTTGGAGTGTGAATCAGCATATACAGGATCTCTGTCTCTCTCTCTGCCTCTCCCTCTCTGTAATGCCACTTTTCAAATAAATAACTAAATCTTAAAAGAAAAAAAATTAAAGACTAAAAGGCAGCTGTGAGAATTTTGTTTATAGGTGCTTGAGTAATTCATCCTTTTGTAGTATAAACAAAAAATGAGGTAAAAACCCATATTATGGAAAAAATCTCTTACTGAATTTGGGGCTAGTGCTGTGGAGTCGCAGGCAAAGCCATCACCCCGCAACACTGGCATCCCACAAAGATGCCGGTTTGAGTCCTGGCTGCTCCACTTCCAATCCAGCTCCCTGTCAACGGCCTGGGAAAAGCAGATGAAGATGGGCCTCAAGCGTTTGGGCCTCTGCCACCCATGTAGGACACCCAGATAGAGCGCCTGGCTTCTGACTTCTGCCTAGCCTAGTGCTGGCCATCTGGAGAGTGAGCCAGCTGATGGAAGATCTCTCCCTCTCTTTCTACCCCCTCTTTCTCCTCCTCCTCCTCTCTCTCTGTAATTCTGCCTTAAAAATCTTATTAAAATAAATGAAAAAAACAGAAATTTGTATAAAATTAATCCTCTTTTACAAAGAATCTTCCACCTAATCTTCCACCTATGAACCCACTAGAACACTAATATTTAAATAGACAAAATATTTTTCCATTTAAGGAAGAAAACATTCTTAGACAAATTCATATATTTGCAGTTACTAATTAATACTACAAATATATTTTAATCAATCAAGCTAACACAGGTCTGAATTAAGGTTAAGATTGTATCACTGGGACCAGTGTTGTGGCTAAGCAGGTAAAGCTGCTACACGCAGCACCAGCATTGCATATGGGCGCTGCTTCAAGTCTTAGCTGCTCCACTTCCATTCCAGCTCTCTGCTAATGGGCCTGGGAAAGCAGTGGAAGATGGTCCGAGTGCCTGGGACCCTGTACCCACATGGGAGATCCAGAAGAAGCTCCTGGCTCCTGGCTTCAGCTTGGCCCAGCCCCCAGCCCTTGCAGCCATTTGGGAAGTGAACCAATGATTGGAAGATCTGTGTGTGTGTGTGTGTGTGTGTGCCCTTCTATCTCTGTAACTGTACCATTCAAATAAATAAAATGAATTCTTAAAAAAGATTTTTATCATTTTCCACAGATGTGAATTGAAGTTTGAGATAGATGATTTTAACACGAAAGAAGCAATGGGGTCAGAGCTGCATTAATATTTGTAGAATCATTTGGATTTTACAAGAACATAGAGCCAATATTTTTAAAACTTGACTTTGAGTTTTACTTTCCATTTTCATGGTTATTGCTTTGCTACAGTTCTCAGCATTATCACGTTGCAAGAACAACATAAAAGTTAGTGCAGTAAATTTCATTGAAATCAAATGTAATTCACAAAGAATGGATAATGCCATTACCAACAATTGCAAATGAGTGCTTTTACCTTGATTGTCTATGATGATAAAATTTGAGTTGTTTTTGTCTTCCATAGAGAGATTAAAGTAGAAATGGTGGTCTTCTACAGATTCATCTCTATCCATTGCACTGATAGTCTGAATTACCTAGGAAAATAATAAGGATGGATTTTCTCATCTCTTTTTGTATTTAGCAAATAATCACTGTTATTTTTATTTTTACCTTATATTAACATCTCTTTACCAAAGTCACTAGGGACATTGCTAAGAATATCTGACAATTGGTTAATCAGGTTAAGATGTTTTAGTCCCCCTTTCAGAACTGTAGCATCATATTACATAATAAATAAAATCACATTAATGGATCCAGTGAACTTCATAAGCTAAATTTTCAAAGCATGTCTGCTATCTATATGCTTCCTTACTCGCTCTGCCCACGTTTTCCTCTTCCTTCCTTCTTCCTCCTGCTTCTTCATCTGAATTCAAGACATCATGATTTGCTAATTTTTTTTGCTTGTAATGAGATGAAAAATGTGGTAGTTATTTGGTTTAAATGTATTTGCTAATGTAATGAGTTTTTAAATTGCTATGGTAAAATAATGCATCTAAATCTGAGAAAAATGTACATAATTTCCTTTGACCTATAAAGATGATAGGAATATCTTACATATCCAATAAGCCCCTCTCTATATCTCAGATCATAAAACAATGAAGTCATGCAGATAAGAATAAATCCATCCTCAATTAATTCTTTTATTTGAAGACATTAATGTGTCAGTCATTTAATTCATTATTGTCAAAAGAGATATGCTGCCACAATCATATTGTGAGATTGTAATTAATCCTGGAAATTAAAGTAAATTGATTATACAAGTTAACGTTTAAATCTTCTAGAACAAAAGTATTTTTAGCAATGTGTCACTCAAAGCTATCATCCTTTGCAAGCTGACAGACCCAATTTTTTAATGTTATACTTCAAAGAGCAGGTATTTCTCCAATTTATACTTTATTCCTCTACATAGATTTACTTTCTCTACAACACATCTATAATTAAATCATAATCATCTAGTGTTGATCAGATAATCTAATGAGGGAAATTTTCATTTCATCCATGCTAATAACAATGTGATTGTATCATATGAAAGTAATTCTTTTAATTCAGAAAACCATACGCGTTAATACCGGCTGGGTGAATCACAGGGCTAGGAAGTCTGATATTCCTAACTCTGGTTTTGACACTATGAAGTTTTCCGTTTTAAAAATGTAGGTATTACCTGATCTGTTACACTTTCCTTCTAGGACTGTGTACCTTATCAAATAGCATGATGCAAAATGAATACATGGCTTTCATATACATTCTTCATGAAAACACTCTTTTATTCATAGGCCATTGCACTTGTTAATGATCTTATTATAGGTATATTTGTTGGAGTAAGATTAGCAACAATTGTATTTTACTGCCTAATGTTCTTTACGGAGCATGAACCTCTGACTAAATGTTAAAAATGTCTCCTTTTTATGTATGAAGCATTAAGAGGACTGGAGAGACACTGGCTTTGTACACTTGTAGCTACTTAGAATATCCTCTACATACATATAGGTAAAACTTTCAACACTGTCTCCTTGACAAACCTTCCATCAATTTATTTTTTCTTTTTAAGTCATGCTTGCTGAAATATATGGTTTATTGCACTCTACACACAGGAAAACACCGGCACAATAAGTGTAGTAATAGATTGGTTATCATTAATTCCATTGAATTAACATTGAACATGTACTCTTTTAATCTCTAAAAGATGGCCAATATTAAGGTGCCCATCATCTAGTTTAGTGACATTTATTTCTTTTAATACCAAAAGCATTTTTGCTTTAGTTTTCAAATAAATTCTAAGAAAATTTTGAATTTGTTGCATGGTTAGATTTCTAAGTTATATCTACAACTTACCTGAGGCATATTGCAGACTGTCTACATTTATTGGATCAAAGACAAATAAGAAATTAAAAATAAATACACAGATGAAAGTCATGACTTGAAAGATTGGACAAAGAGGTAATGAGAATGATTTCAAATTATGACAAATTCTGTGAACTCAAATTTTTAATATTCTCTTTGGTCTCTGGATAGAATTTTATCCAATTTATATCTGACACAACTCATTCTATTTCCTATATATCGGAAAGCAAAATGTATGATGGAAATATAGTGTGCCAGTCTGGCATATCTAAAATGAACCACCCGTTAATAGGAACTTATCTATGTGTCAGGCAGTGCTCTGCCAATTAACTTAGCCAATCTTCACAGGGATATGTTACGATGCATTCTACTCTCCATTTTATAAATATTTATATTCTTTCTCAAGTAAGGTAAGTATCAGGAGTGAACTGGCTCGGTTAAATTAGGTTGCACGCTGAGGCACAGCTGCTGTGGAATATGGGGTATACATGTGGGGCCTGTGGGCCTGGCTTCTGCCCTGTCCTATTCCTGTTCTTGAAGGTCTCTCTCTCTCTCTCTCTCTCTCTCTCTCTCACACACACACACACACACACACACACACTTACTCTAAAATATCTGGAATAAATAAGCACCAAAAAAGTCTCAGAAAAGATAGAGACATAAAGAGAAATCAGCAAAATAATTGCAATAGAATAGATCAAAAATAACCTGGGTTTTTGGTATGGAATAGAATATATTGTAGGCTAGGAATTTATCAAGGGAGCTAACCCCTTAGTAAAAATATGCGAATTAAAGGGGAAGATGGAATCCAGACCATTAAATAATGCACAAAAGCAGTGAAGATGAAGAAGTCACATATTAGCTAAAAATTAATGGAATTCATATTTTGAAGGTTAAAGGTGGTAAAATATTGGCAGTTTCATAAATTTCAAGTTAATTATTTTATGTGACTACATAGAGTTTTTGACTTTAAAGATGATTGTGGAAATAAAGGTAATTTTCCTGATATCAATCACTCTGTATGATATATTTCCCCAGGAAAAAAAGGCACACAAGGGCCAATTTACTAAAATGTCATTGCTAGATTAATTTTCCTGACACAAAATAAATACAATGCTAACTCTTGCAAACCAGAGGTATGGGTATTATTAACATGAAATCTTTTGACAGCTTGTCTAAGAAGTCACAGTTGTGCATTCTGGTATGGAGCAAGCAATAAATTAGATTCTATTTACTTCTCTTCAGTGCAACTGACAATTAAATCCAATTCCAGAATTAGTCAAAGAATAAATTGTTAAGTATTATTATAAACTATAAAGTGAAGGGTGAAATTCTTAAGTCAATATACATATATTCAGCATTAATTATACAAAAATCAATTTCTGGAAATGTGTTGAATAGAAAATGATTTTTAGTATAAAATGAGAAACAAAATGCAGAGTTACAATAAATGAACATATAGAAGGAATTTGTAAATTATCATTGAAGTTCCTTATTTATCTGAGTGTTTTGTACCTTTCTTAAGGCTAAAGATAAAAATTATTTCCCATTGTCTGGAAAGTATTATCAGTAAAGAAGTTTGTTGAACATCTATTCAAAAAGCCAAAGTGAAAATTATAGAATTAGAAACAAAAAGAAAATCTAGATTACCTTATTATCTCCTTTGGTTAGCATGATAGGACACAAATGATGAGAAATTAATGGTAGTCTAAAATCTTGTTCCCGTTCAGAAGCATGGTACACTGAACTCCATGCTATGTCGGTGAAGCCATATTTTTTCACTATTTCCTAGAGGGACATAACTTTTTCTGGTCCTTTCGCTACCACTAAAATCTGTAGAGACTGTCTACATGCCTACATGTTACCTTGTGAATATAATTTTTTTCAAGGAGCACTATATTGTGCATGTGTTTGGGAGATTGCAATGAAGCAGAGCTTGATCTTATGGGAATGTCCCTCTGTGTAATTAAGAAAATACACTTCAGAAGAGCTACTTGGTTCCTGGCAGGTCAAAAGAGTGAACATCTAGAGAAATGGAAGTACTGAACGTATATTTAGGAGGTGGGATAGATGGAACTTCACAACTGATCACATATGGAGAATGAAGGAAAGAATGGATTAGGCATGATGTCCACATGTCTTTTTTCCACAACTTGGTGAATTGCATTTTTGCTAAAGATACTGGGAAGGTACAAGCTTGCGGGTAGGTTTCCTGTAACCATAGATTCTCTGAGTATACTTTTTTCTAGTAAGTTGGACAGACAAGTTTGAAACCTAAGAGGCAGAGTGAGCAGACACATGCATCTGGAAGTCATTTGGCCATTTACTGGACTTGAGGAGTTACAGGTACATGATAGAAGAAAAGAAGGAGCTATGGAAAACAGAAAAAGACAGGCAAAAGTGGAGAAGGAAAATGAGTAGAATATCATGGTTGATGATGTGTTCTCATTGAAATTTAGAGAAGAGAAAAACATTTTTATATTATTATAAGAAGAATTATATTTCTTTGCATTAGACAGACTTCATATAAAAGAATAAAAAAATCACCAATATTTAATTTACTTCAGGAAAAGATACTATGCTATTTATAGTCAAGGTAATGAGAATCACTGATTTGAAAAATGATATTATTAATACTAAGTACAGAAGACAAATTACTCTAATATCAGCACATTTGTTATACTAATATTTGCAAAACACTGAAAATTTGCCTCCTTTTGTCTTCACCACAGTCTCTACACATTATGAAAAAAATATATCTGCTTAAGTTTATAGGCCATTGAGGAAGTGTTTGTGTCAATGTGGACTGTGACCATTTTGTCATTTTCATTTTATAAAATGAAAGTATTATTAATTTAACGATGATAGATACAGAATACTCTTTAACCTGTCATTTGTCCTGTTTGAATCTGTGAGACGTGATTCAACCATCATCTTCATAGAATGGAAAACTAAATAAAATGTCCTCATCTATGATAATAAACAAGATAATATTTTATATTCATTTTTTCAAACAAGTAACATTAAAATTAATTCTATTTGCTTATATTTTGTACATTAAATACACCAGTTAGATAAACTAAAATTCAATATTCATTTAGTAGTATTATGGTAGACAATCATTTCAAAAGGCTTTTTTTTTTTTAAAGATTTATTTATTTATTTGAAAGTCAGAGTTACACAGAGAGAGGCA